CCCCCCCCCCCCCCCTTATCTCAGGGTCTGGATGACCGCCCCCCCTCGTTATCTGAAGGTCTGGATTTGCCACTGATATTGTGAGGCGGTAAAATAAGGGCTACAATTCGCTAATATTTTGTCAGAAATTTTGTGTTTACAAGTGAGAGCTACTCATTATTCGCTGTATTGTCTCCAAGTTTCATATTTTCGTACACAACAATAGCTAGCATTTTTACATATGTCAAATGCATTGTTAGTTACTGCTGTTTACGTGAAAATGATACTTGGAGACAATACTTTGAATAATGAGAGGCTCCCCACTTGTAAAGACGAAACTTGCAATAAAAAATTGGCGTATTGTAGCCCTTCTTTTATTACCATACAATATATCAGTAATCGTGAAACTAAAAAGTCACATAAAAGGACGGTTTATCTCTAGAGTCTTAATTTTTTAAAAAAATCTATCGTGCGGTTCAAAATTATTCGCCGATTTATTGAAGTAGACCGAAATTTTTACAAAACCTTTAACAAGAGCGCCTCGATACATACTAAACAAATCCCTCTTTCTTGCAATCGGCTGGAGCAATCTCCATGATCTTCCACAGACGTTTTTAAAAAGATTGAAACTACTATGCGGTGAAATTGCATGTCAAAGCGCTTCTTAGCTCTTCTTTTCCTACAGATAACGGCCAAACATCATGATTGTCCATTTTTTAACTGTATTTCTAACCATAAAAACGTCATCTCCAAATATCTTAAAAACGTTCTTACAGATTCCGCTTAAACTTCATGTACATCGAGGCAGTTATTGGGGGAAAAAGCTCCCGTGAACGATTTTGGAAGAACAGTTCCCAGTACCAAGAAATACTGCTGGAAGTAAAATTGGTAGTGGCGGTATATCGTTGCTATGACAACTCCGATGTCATTGCAATCTTGATCATGACAAATTGTCATCTTTATCTAATACAACTGTGGTGGCAATCTTTCTAAATCTTTGTTTATGGCGACGTAGTTTATGCTCGAACTTGGGAGGTATTGACCCTGAATAACTGTATCGAGCCACCTTAAACCATGATTCTGTTAAAAAAAAAAAACCGAATATTTTTTGAAGCTACTTTTCTGTAAAAGCGACCCTGGTTTGGTCGTTTCATTATACTATGTTCTCAACGGGAGTCTTTTTAGACGTAAACCGACATTTTACTATTGTCGAAAAATTTCCATATTTTCAAAGGGGTTAAGCCATGATTCTTGTCGAAAATTCGAAATATCTTTCGAGCTTTCTTTTCTGTAAAAGATACCTTGGTTTTGTCGTTTGATGATGTTGTTTTCTCAAAAGGGAGGCCTTTTAGACGACAAAAACGTCCTTTTAGTATTGTTGAAAAATTTGCACAGTTCCCAAGGGGTTAACTTATGTTTCCGTAAAAAATTCCAAACATCTTTCAAGCCTTCTTTTCTGTAAAAGTGACCTTGGTTTTGTGGTTAGATGATGTCGTTTACGCAAAAGGAGGCTTTTTAGTCAATAAAAACGTCATTTTCCTATAGCCCAAAAATTTGCGTATTTGCAAAGGTGTTAACCCATGATTCTGGTCAAAAATTCCAAATATTTTCGAGCCTTTTTTTCTGTAAAAGAGACGTTGTTCGATGATGCTCTTGTTTTTAAAGAAGGCTTTTTAGACTAGTAAAATTTCCTTTTATTATAGTTGAAAAACTAGCATTTTCCCGAAGAGAGTTAACCCATGATTCTTTTCAAAAATTCCAGATATCTTTTGAGCCTATTTTTTTGTAAAGGAGACCTGGGTTTTGTCTTTCGATGATGTTCTTTTTGTAAAGGACGCTTTTTTGTTTTACTATAGTCGAAAAATTTCCTTTTTTTAAATTTTTCTTTAATTGTTCTTGCAAATTTTTTAACGAAGACTAGTGAGCTGCGCAAAGGAAGACTTCTTGAAGTTGTAAGCTTTTTCGTTTATTTCCGACGCGTTTCATCTCTTACTGAGACTTCTTTAGGGAATGAATTCAACTAACAAAGTATAGCATATATAACAGACTTTGTGCATAAGTAAAACTTCCAATAGAAGTGAATAATAACGTAACTATGCTGCAAACAGACGTTATAAGAAACACCTTAACACATATGTTATCGCATGTTGTTATATTTTGGGGGCCATAGGATTAGCACTAATCGTATATTCCCTTCGAGTCGTTTCATCCCGCAAGCAACAACAAGGCCTTTGTTAGAGGTGAGCTTACATGTATGTGCTATACTAGAAATAGCTCCACTTTTAAAGCTTTTAGCGAAACGCCTGAGAAATTCTGGAAGCCCCTCCGGCCTTGCGGTTAACAAGTTGGATTTTTACTTCCCTTATTCAGGGAGGTTAAATAAAGTAGCAGAACTAAATGGCTTTTACCAAAACGCAAATCCCGCAACAGTAGAATGGTAGTTTAAATCTACATTTAACTGTCGTGATGCTAGCTAACGTTAAGCAGGTGATCCAGAGACATTCACCAGACTTAGGCTGTATCGTCAGTTGTACTTAGCACATTTCTGTTAATAGCATGTTTTTTGGGAGCCATACGATTAGCACTGATCGTATGGCCCCCAAAATATAACAAAACGCAATAACGTATGACTGTATTAAGCGTTTCTTATAACGCCGTTTGCAGCATAGTTAAGTTTATTATATTCACTTCTGTCGGAAGCTTTACTTACGCACAAAAGCTGTTGTATACGCTGTACTTTGTTAGTTGTATTCATTCCCTGAAGAGGTCTCAGTAAGAGATCTAGACGAAACACGTCGGAAATAAACAAAAAAGCTTACAACTACAAGAAGTCTTCCTTTGTGCGGCTCACTCGTCTTCGTTAAAAGATTAAAAAAATAAAATAAACTATTTTCTTGGCCAGTGAAACAAGAGCCGAAAAATGCGTCTGCTCCCCGCAACAGCGGTTTCAATAAGCACCGACGGCCCACGAAACAGGTCGGCTACTTTGCTCATAGAAGTCGCCTACATTTTTCCAGAAAGAAGAATTAACTAGTTTGAATAACGTTGTAACCAAAAATCTGAATGAAACGTAATTATGACGTGTTTTCCCTAAAGGCCCACTGGTTTTACGTTATTCTTTAGCCATGTGAACGCTATATTTCAGTCAATTTTTCACAGTTTTAAGCAGAATTTGTTTACGTGTAAAAGTAGGTAATCTAGTTTTCATCATTTGTTCATTGCTTGTAAGAATGGATTGTGTAACTGATAAATCGAAAGGTGGATGAAAGCTAAATTTTTTAGAATAAAAAACACCCTCTTTTATCCTCAGTTTAGTTCCCAGAGCGCTGAAAATCGCATTTTAGGGCTTTGAACTTTCAAACTTTTCTGGGGAAGCACACCCCCAGACCCCCTCCCCCACCCTAGAAAAAGGGGACTAACGGCCCCTTATTAATACAGTCGGTTACTCTATTGAAACCTGCTGGCCATTTCAATTTTTATTGAAACCCCTGCTTAATACAATGTGTTAGTTTGCATATCTAATATAATGTCTTGATGATAAAGCAACGATTCGTGATGAGGGCAAAAAAAATTGAACATGTCCAGCAACCAAAGCTTCCTTAAAAAAAGATCCATAAAATTTACAGGGAAAATGGTTGATGTTGGTAATGTCTTTTGGCATGCAACTCCTCAGAGTGTAACTGGATCTTTAATGAATCATAATGGCATGTAGCTCCCATGGTGCACGCACTATCCACAGATCCATCCAAAAGCTGTTATTCAAAGGATGAATAACTGTTCAGTGTCTGTAATATTATCTTTATTCCCTTGATCTTGTAGTATGTGTCATTTTGTTGTATAAAATGCGTGTAGCTGCTCTAGGGTTTCCTTCACAAGATTCCGATATCGCTTTGATCCTTAATGTTTAAATCTAATTCTCATTTTTGCCCTATGCAAATCCCCCATAATAAACTCTAGGTCTGTTTGCCTTAAATTCTGTATAACTGATTGTTTTTCAATGCTCTCGGGAATAAGGAGTCCTCCCTGGAGCATTTGACAACAATAGTTTATACAAGAAAAGGGAAGGGAGGG